TTTATGCCTCTTTCCCCTTCGCCACCTTTCAGACCCAAGTTTTGCTCCAGTAGGCTCTTTTTAAAGCCACCAGTTGCGGGAAACGCAGGACCTCCGGGGGAGTGCAGGAGGCGGACGGGCGGCCCCAGAATAAGCTTGTCTCGGGGCCGAGCTGAGGGTTCTCTGCCCCATCCGGGTTCGCCGAAGGCACTGCCTAAACCGTTGGACTTGGTGAAGGACTTCTGATCGCCCAGCTGTCGGCTTCCGTCTTCGTAGATTCCCAGCCTCCAGCATCCCCAGAGCCGAACCACCTCTACTGTTTGTGCCTTGTTTGTGCCTTACAGTGTCTGGTTGGGGTCCCTTGGGAGGAGCTGAAGGCTGAGATTCAGTTTGCATTGGAAAGATTCACTAGAATCTAATCCCACCTGACCTTTTGAGGCCAAGCAACGGGGCTGTGAAAAGGCACCAAAAAGCTCTGGAGTGGATAAGTGGGTAGACGCTACACAGTATAGTCGTTTTCACAAGTTTTGTTATTTCAATCAGTAGATGCCAAGCCATCTGGTCTTTGTGGTCCTTAACTTTGCATGCAAGAGAGAGAGGGTCAAAACGAGCCCACTGACCCTGGTTCTGCTCCAACTTTTTTCCCCCAAACCTCCTATAGTTCAGGTTAGCCTTAAACTCTTTATGTAATACAGGCAGGCCTTGAACTCACTAGGAGCCACCTGCTTCAGTCTTCCAAGTTCTGGGACTACAGGTGTGTCAGCACCCCCAGCTCCAATAATATGATTTAACAGATCTGAAGAAACAAGGGCAGCAGTGGTGGTTCATACCTGTAATCTCAGTATTTAGTTTAGGAAGGAGGATCACAAGTTTAAGACTAGCCGAGATTTGGTGACACCTAGTCTCAAAAAGGTCTTGGGATATTGCTCAGTGGTAAAGTGCCCTTGGGTTTATTCCTTAGTACCTGAAAAGAAAAGGAGGGAAAGGGAAGAAGAAATAACATCAGCCAACCAGCTAGTTACGGCAGTAGACCAGGTGTCTGCTCTTCTTTAGTGGCTCTTCTTTCAAAGACTCCAAGCCATCCATTGCTCTCTTTTCACTCACTAAATTGACATAAGTACCCAGTAAGAGATAGGTATTGTTCTAGGCATTAGGTCACTGAGAGTAAAGCAAGATAATTAGCTATTAAATAATTATAAGCTTTTAAATAATTACAATAATGTTACAAGTGCTTAGGCAAAAAAAGTACAGTGATAGAGGAACAAAGGAATGAGTGATTAATTTTTCCACAATTCCCCTTCCTACCAATGAAGAATATGAGCAGGATGATAGACCCTTGTTAATAGAAATCCTGAGGCCAGGAATTTAACTTAGTGGGGCCACTGCTTGACTTGCACCAAAAATAACCCAGAGGTCCTGTTGCCTAATAACTAGTTTCACAAACCTAAAGTCTTTCAGGAAATGTTTTCATCGTAGAACCTGCTGCAAAATCAATGCAGTTTCTTTGGATGCCAAATAAAGTCCCCTTTTTTTTTTTTTTTTTGTACCAGGGATTGAACTCAGGTCCCTGCACTTGCAAGGCAGGCCACCAAACCACTGAGCTAAATACCCGGCCCAAAGTCCCCATTCTTGACAACCCTAGTGTATTAGAGAAGTCATGATGCCTCTCCTAAGAGATCTTGGTCTAACAGGAAAAATATATGTGAATTGCCTATTCAAAGAGAAGTGAAATAAAAGAAGCCATGCTTATTGGTGCAAGCCTGCAATCTCAGCACTGATGAGGCCGGGCAGGAGGATAGTTCTGAGTTCAAGATCAGCCTGACTGCTATCAAAAATCAACCAATAGAGCCTGGGTCCCGATCCACCACGGGAAGGAGAGCCAAGCCTGCTCCCGATCCAGCTGCCATCGCTCAAGCGCCGGGAGGTCTGGGCCCCAATCCACCACAGGAAGGAGAGCAATGTCTGCTCCCGACCCAGCCTCCATCGCTCAAGCGCCGGAAAGGTAGCTGCGCGGGTGCCCCTGAACCCCCATAAGCCCCACCCCCGCACTCTCAGACCTCCTGACTGGGCCAGTCTTTGGACCCACTCTGCAGAGACAGAGGTGGTCATCAAGGGTATTTTTCTGAGTTCCCAACTTTGAACATCTTTAAAGAAAGGGCATGGGAAACCTGTAATAGAACGTTGTGGAGTTCAATCATACAGAAGGTTGGGGAACTCAGTCTGGGTCTTGCAGCCCGAGGTCAGTCAGCGTCATGGGGTTCAGCCATCAGCTAACTGAGATCCGGGGTCTTGCATCCTCGCTCTGTCTGAGCCATTAAATGGTAAATACTCTATATTGAAATTTTGTTCACTGCAGACATGTTCTGGACTGCTTCTTGATTTCAATTTAATTCAAATGATTTAAGGGTGATAGACTAGTGACTACCACTGGTGGTCAGTGTCCAAGTTGTGCTTGATCTTAATGTGTTGCTGATTGTATCAGTTGGGGTAAAGCATTGCCGTTGATTTGATGAGCTGTTTTCTCTGATGTTATGAAGATGAGAATGTCTGTGGGTCGTTAGAGACACAGAAGCTAGGGTGCAACTATATCAGGAAGATTTGGGTGATAATCCAGAGATTAAACCAAGGACAGTCCGACAACAAAAATTAAAATGAGAAAACACTTAAGCAAGACACAAGGACAGACTTCCAGTTCACCAATGGCAAACAGTAGGGCAAATGAGGATGAAAAGGCCGATAGTGAACCACCAGGACACCCTGAACTCAAAGCACAGGAAGTAACAAAACAGATCAATCAGGCTCTAGAAAAATTCAAAACAGAAATAATTTCCCAGATAACCATAGAGATAGTGAGCAAAATGGAAGTCGTGATTCGAGACTCTAGAGCAGAAACTGACAAAAAAATAGATGAGCTCAGGACCATGATAGAAGCCATGAAGGCCCAGCATAAGAAAGAAATGGAAAAAATAAACGCCCAACATAGGAAAGAAATGGAATCCATAAAACAGATTCAAACAGATATCCAGGAGATTAAACACTCTATTGAAAGTGTACGCAACAGAATAAAAGAATGCGAAGATAGGCTCTCAGATATAGAAGATAAGATTGCAGTCAGTGACCATGAAAAGAGAGGTCTCTTAAAAACAGTAAGAGATCATGAGAAATCGATCCAACAACTCCTAGATGATGCAAAGAAGAATAACATAAGACTGATAGGAATACATGAAGTAGCAGGAGAAAATACAAATGACTTAAAAAAGCTGTTTGCAGAATTAATGACAGAAAACTTCCCAAACAGAGGGGAAGAATTTGACATTCAGATAACTGAGGCATATAGGACCCCAACTAGCTACAATAAAAAAAAATCTACACCTAGACATATAATAATCAAGATCCCAGAAACCCAACAGAAGAACAAAATACTACAAGCAGTAAGAGAAAAGAAACAAATCACATACAAAGGAAAGCCCATCAGAATCACAGCAGACTTTTCAACACAAACCCTTGGGGCAAGGAGAGCCTGGAATGAGATATTTCAAGTACTAAAAGAGAACAACCTCCAACCTAGACTGATGTATCCTGCAAAACTCTCTTTCAAAATGGATGGGGAAATAAGACACTTCCACGACACCTGAGAAACTACATGAATACCAAACCAGCACTACAAGGAATTCTAAACAAGACCCTAGAAAAAGACAATGAAGGCAGCAACAGCATGAGGCCCAACAGAGCAAATCAAATAGGCAAGGCAAGAAATCAAAAGAAGGTAAAAAAGTAAAAAGAGTCAACAAAAGGCCAATAACATGTCAATAATAAGTCAATACATATCAGTTATAACCAGCAATGTCAATGGCCTCAACTCACCAATCAAGAGAAATAGACTGGCAAAATGGAATAAGAAGCAAAATCCAACAATATGTTGTATACAAGAAACACACCTAGTGCAAAAAGAAGCCCATAGACTGAAAGTGAAAAGAGAGAGATCAATTCTCCATGTGACAGGAGCTCAGAAAAAAACGGGTAGCAATCTTATTTGCAGACAAAGTAAAATTTCAAACCAAAACTGAATCTAGTATTATTAACGTAGGACAGTACTGTATCATACCTCTATGAATGTAAAATATCTA